CAGTCAACTGCTTGAAATACATCTACACCACTGGTCCTTCGCTCAGCAGTCACTTTCCCCTGAAGAGAGTGCCTGAACGCTTCCAGGGGTGTCTGTTTGATGGTCATGCCTGCCTCTGAATCCCTGAAAGGACTTCCCGTTCCTCAACCTTCACTTTCCATCACGGGTTACAGAACCGTATAAATGAACAGTTCCCGGAAAGAGACTCAGGTACTAAGAGTTGTGCAAGGATCTGTCCTTCCTCACATGTGACCATTTCGCAGATTGCTCAATTGCTCCCTCCAGAGCCATTCAATTCCTACCCAGGATTTTGGATGCTCAGTGTAAGATCTTAGGGTTGATGTTTCTGGTTTCTGCTGTTACACTTCTAGATCCTTCGTGAGCCTCAATCCAAGCCTGGTTGCTCATTATTTCTCAAAAGTGTTCCTAAGAGGATAACCTCCTCCCCATCACTGGCCATGACATACATTATTCCCACTTTATTCCAAGCCCCACTCAATTCGTTCTTCAGAGACTATTTCAAACAAATCTCTTCAAACAAACCATCCCAAGTTTTACTGGAGTTTAAAGGGAGAGCGTTTCTTAACTCAAAGTGCACGTGCTGTAACCATCAACAATTTACTCGGGAGCAAAGGTGTTTTTCTGTTTTCTCTCCAACCCATTCAGCACAGTAGCAGATGTCTTGGTGGGTTATCGACTGATTTGTCCCATTAACCACTTTACCATTAACATCAACACAATTTCCTGCTCACTATCCCTTGAGTGACCTTAGAAAACAGATCTCACCAAATGCGCCTCATATTATCAAAACCCATAAGCTATCTCCAAATGCTCACAGTCAAATCTATTTGATTACAGTTACCGTTTCCAGCTACAAGCCAAACATGCGTTACAATTATCTCTAATGTTCCCTTTCTGTGTGGATGAGAAAATTCAGTCACAGATGCAAGCTGCCCACCGATGCTAAGTGGTGAAGCTAGGACTTGACCCAAGCCTGTGTGGCTTCAAAAACTATGCTTTTCCCACAAAATTTAGTCTGTCAACTGAGTTGGCCTCTGAAGAAAATGGGGGTTTTAACTCGATCTTTCATACATGTATCACAGTAACAACAAAAACCCACTTTATCTAGTAAATTCCTTAAGAACCGAAAGCTCTACGTCCCGAATGAGTAATTTCCTAAGCCTTTTACATTAGAGTTGTATTCTCCAGGGGCTAAGCCAGCCAGGCGACCCCATAATAAACACTCTCATCGAGGACACTCTCTTTAGTAAGAGGATTCTTCCAAAGCGTCATCCTGAAATTACTTTTAAAACCCAATCAACAATGGGTAGACGGAAGCTACCGATCTGTCTCAAATGTGGACTCATACTTAGGTATTTTTCATAACTTCTTACGTGTTAGTTGCTAGCATTACAATGGGGAGTAACCTGTAGCCATACCAGACCTGTTGCAAAGGTCTTTTATTTTTTAACAAGCCAAAAGTTCCTCCAAAACTCAAGGTTTAGCCCTAACATGTTCCCCCTACTCCTTTTAAGTTTTACATACACATCTCTTAAGTCCCACCTAACGTTCCCTGGTTCTCATAAGCTCTCCTCTTTCAAGATCTTCCCCTGCGTTGCCGAAAGAGAAGAGGAAAAGAACAGACCATACCCGGGGAGGCAGTAAGTTAGCGATTTCGAGCCGTGAATCTGTCTCATTAACTAGTTGACGCAGCCACTAGCCAGGGTGGCCACGATTGTCTAACAAGCTCTACAACGACAAAGGTTTTTTTTTTTTTCCTTTTTTTTTTTGGGCCAAGTTGGAGAACGGAAACCACACCGTGGAAACTCTGCACGGAGTTTTAAAGATAACGAATTACGACTTTAATTTACTCTCGTAGAGGGAGAAGCCAAGGCTCTCAGCAAGGCAAGATACTTTCGAAACTGTCACTAGACTACTCACTCAAACCCGAGTCTCCCGCCCAAAAAAGTGTGACACATGCGAGTCAAAAAAGAGCCTCCCCCCGAGCTCCCGTCCCCGGGAAAGATGCGCGGTGACCGTCTGATCCACTACACTGGGCAAGAGGTGGAAAGGGAGCAGGAAATCCTGTTTGTTTATTTCCAGCAGCCCTGAGAGCGGGAAAGGTCGGTCTCTAGCCGGAGACGAAGCAGGCCCCACCGGCGGGGCCTGGGAAGGAAAAAACCCAGGCCTCCTGGGGGCCTGGGAGCCGTACCCTCCCGCCCGGAGTCCCAGTCCCACTCGGGTTTTCCTTCTCCCCGTCCCACTCAGATCCTCACCATCCTTCCCATTATCCCTCCACCACCCCCACCCGCGCAGGCGCAGTGGGAACCAGGGCCTACCCGCGCCCCCGAGGCGCCGCGACTATGGCGGAGCCGGAGCAGGCCGGTAGCAGCTCCGCGCCGGGCAGGCGTCCCTCTCCCGTACCCGCGGCCTCCCCGCCACCGCCGGGGCCCTGTGCCCACCCGCAGACCCCTCTTCTGCCCTCCTCACCCGTTCTTCAGATCCACCTCCAGGATCTTCCCGTAGCCCTTAAAGAAGCGCTCCACATCGCGCTCCCGGGCCTGGTAGCTCAGGCGGCCGATGTACACCCGCGGCATCCCGGCAACAGTGGCGGCAGCTTGGCCCGGCCCCAGCCCCGCTTAGGCGGCGGCCGGCGAAGCGAGAGCGCGGCGACGGCGGCGGCGGCGGCAACGGGCGAGCGGCGGGACGGACGCAGCCGAACCCCAGCGACGTACGCGAGCACGCAGCACGCGAGCGCGCGCCTCCCGCCTTCCCCGCCCTCCCCGCAGGCGGAGGGTAACGGGAGGGAGCGCGCGTTCGCTTCCCGCCCGGCCAGGAGTGGGGGCGGGGCTTGCCCATGGGCCCTCCAGCGGGAGGCGGGGCCCGATGATCGACAGGCGGCGCAGGCGAGGCGAGCGGCGCCCGCCTCCCGGCACGTCCTCTCGCGAGCTCGCTGTGGCTGGGCCCGCACCGCCTTCCGCCGCCGGGTGGCTTCGCTTCTCCCCCGGAAGTGCCTGCGGCCCCTCCCGCCCTGCGAGCCATCCGGCTTTTGTCCTTTGAACCGGGAGTGGTTTCGACTTCAGAGCAGGAGCTTTGGAGTTAAGTCCGGGTTCTAACCGTCTTTGTATCCGTGACCTTGGGCCCGTTACGCGCCACTTCTCTGAGCCTCGCTGGTCTTCTCCCTACAAAGGGGATAGTAATTCCAACCTTCCAGAGTTGACTAGAGAATTATATAGGAGAATGCGTCAAGCACTTCGTACTGTTCCCAGCACATCGCAAGTGCCCAGTAAATAATACCAATATTATTTAACAAATAGGACAACTGGAAGAGCAGTGTGGAAAGTGGAGAAGGCTGGAGTTTTGGAGCTAGATTAGGCTTGACACTGACTAAACTACTTGGCTAATTTAACTTATTTTCTATTGTAAAATTAAAATAATTTATCCCATTTCAATCGGACTACCTGGGTAAGTAAATGAGGTAGTATATACGGAAGGGTATACTGCTTGGAACAGTATCTGGAACGTAGTAGGAACTCGGTAAATACTGGTTACCTTCTCAGTAACCCAGTTTACCTAGAACCACAAAGAAGTTTTGTTTGCTGTTTTTATTTATTTATAAAAGTATATTTTGAAAAGATAACTCATTAACCGGTTCAGATGATACAGGGAAAAGTCTTACCATCTCCGTCCTTTGGCCACCTAGTTTCCCTCCCGGAAGCAATGTAATCAATTTTTTTTTCAATGTAATCAGTTTCTTAAACGTTCTTTGGGAGGTACTTTACACAAACGAAGCAATAGTAGTGCACTATATGTACAGTTTTGCACTTATTTTGAAAGTCGTTCCATCAGTACAAAAGGAGCTTCCTCAGGACTGTTTTTATGGCTTATAAAATGCCATTATACGCAGTTGTTGATTTAATCAGTGCAGGAGTGAAGGATTTTGGGATAGGTTCAAACCATTTGCTATACCTGCTGTAATGAGTAACTCGGTATATACATACAAGTAGGATCTATTCCTAGAAGTATGAAAGTTGGGTCAAAGGGTGTGGGCAATATAGTTTTGATAGATATTGCTCAATTCTCTTCCATAAGTACCTGTTTCTCCATCTCATCATCAACACCATGTTATCAAATTTTATGATCTTTGTTAATCTGATAGCTGAAAAACGCTATGTCAGGGTGGTGTAATTTACAGTTATCTGAAGTGGAGTGAGCCACATTTCATATCTTTAAGAGACACTTAGACTTTCCTTTCTGTCTGCTTGCATTTTTTTCTCCTTTTTACTTATGGATCCATAAGAGCTCACTATACATTAGGGAAATCAGCTCTTTGTTAGATGAATTGGAAATATTTCTTCCCTAGTTTGTGGACTTTTGACTTTGCCCAGAGTGTTTTCTGCTATGCAAAAACAGAAGATATTTATGGAGTCAATCCATCCATCCTTTATTTTTCTTTGATTCTGGGTTTTGTGTTGTAGTTTTTCCCCACTCTGAGGTTAAAAAAAAAAAAAACCTCTTAAGGTTTGTTGTGTTCTTTTTAGGATTTATTTTTATATTGCAATCTTTGATCCATTTGGAATGTAGTTGTGTGACGATCGTAATATTCTTAAGAACTGGTACTAACCTTTGTTGTCTTATAGTCTGATCAACCTGTTAATACAGATGGGAAAGAGAGCCCTGGCAGAGGGGAAATGCCAGTCTCCAGACCCTTCTCCTCCTCCAGAGTTCCCTCTCTCAGGGAGTGGCACCCTCCATCCAGCAAAGTGCTAAATAAAGTTCAACCTTCAACCACGGCATCTAGTCTATCCTGCTGATTCTTCCTTCTAAATGTTGCCGGATGCATCCACTTCACCCCCACTAGCTAGCTCAGGCCCTGTCATACTGTTCACACATCAGGGCTTTTAACTGTGCTGTTATCTCTGTCTGCAATATAGCTGACTCCTTATTCAGGCCACAGACCTTCCTAGCCCACCTTACCTCAAGTATCCACATCACTAGGATACCACCGTATTTTACTTTATTTTTTCACAGCACCGATCATACTCTGAAATTGCCTTGTTTATTCACTTGTTCACGTTCTTCCGCCTCCACTAGAGCGTAAGCTCCCTGGTATCCAGGGCCAACTTTTTTCTCTCTCTCCTACTGTATCCCTAGCACCCGTGACAGTGCTCTTCACATGAAGGGTGTTCAAAATATTTACTAAGTGAACAAATGAATGATCTCTTACTGAACTACTTTAATGGCCTCTTAATTCTCCTGTTTTCCTGCCTCTCCATGAGCTACAGACACAGGGAAATCTGAACTCTCTTCTGATTGACATGTTAATGATCACTGAACAAAATCAAGGAGTCCAGAGAGAAAAAGGGAGCATAAGGCCACTTGTGGAGCCAAAAAATAAAAAAAATCAGGACTGGTGTAGTGACCAGACAGGATCAGGGGACCTGGCTTCTGGTGTCCGATCTGCTGCCTGCTGTGTGACCTTGAGCAAGTCACTTCACCTCGCTTGGCATCTTCCTCTTCTGTAAAGTTAGGACATTAAAATCTCAATGATAGAGGGAAGTTGACAAAATCAAGTGGAGATATGGGTGAAAGGCTCTGTACACTGCCAAGGGTTAGGGCACAGGGAAAGCTCTCCTTTCTTTCAGGGAGCACGAATGTCTCCTTACCTTCGGGTCAGCTCTGCTGTGTTCCCCGGCAAATGCAGGCAGATGCTGTGCCAGGCCTACGTCTCTCTTCTCTACCATGTCCAGCTCCTGCCGGGCCCAGTGTCCTACCCAGGGCATGGTGCCTACCAAGAAGCCTGAGGCTGGCAGGTGCAGCCAGGAGTTTCTGGCGCAAGGACAGGCATGCCTGCCACGCACGATGAATGCAAGACCCTTTTTCCTCTGGGCCCCAAGTCTTTCTCTGAGGAAAGTGCGCTTATTTATCTCATCTCCCGAGACACAAAGCCATCGCCAACATAATATAAGTGGCTGTAGGTGGTGTTCCCAGAAGATGACAAACAGGGAGCTCTGGAGTCCTGAAGCCTCGGGGCGTCAGGTGTGCCCAAGCTTTTGTTTTGGAGGCAATGCCTGTTTGTCTTCTTTCAGTCTCCTGGAGCCGAAGGTTCCTCCTCCAGCTGCTTAGAAAGGATTTTGTTTATTTCGTGGGCCAGCAGAGCTGTCCCAACTCCACAGAGAGATTATCCTGCGTGAAAATGAAAAACAGCCTCCTGTGCTTGTAAAATACAGAAGAGATGATCCAGTTAAAGTCAGACCCTCTTTTGCCATGGTTCTGTCACAGTCTCCTTTCTCCGCTGGCCTCTTAGATGTTGGTAATCCCCATGCTGGCCTTTGAAATTTCTGGGGATTTTGCTTGTCTGAAATTCAGAAGCCTAGGAATTTCTGATTTCACCTCTTCTTTTAGTGCCTCCCTTCTCCCAACTGTCCACCGAACCACTGCCAGAGGAATCGCTTTGCCAAAGCACAGTTCTCATCTTCTGGCTCAGAAGTCTTTTGTTCCCCACTGCCAACAGGATAAAGTTCAAATTCCTTAGTGGGGAATCACACACTGCCGCCATTCAGCTTTTCAGCCTCAGCGTGATTGATTTCAACATAAATTAAATCATAGAATATATATCAGTTATGGTTAGCTTCAGAGACAGGCCAAGTTCTAGAAACTTAAATAACACGGAAGCTTGTTTCTCATGTAAAACAAATCCTGACAGTGGGGCTTCTGGGTGCCAGGAACCCAGGCTTCTGGGATCCTGTCACTGACCCATTCTTAACATGATCGAAGATGGCTGTGCAAATTCTAGGAATGGGGTCTGTGTGCCAGCCAGGAGGGAGGGGGAGGGGGAAGAAACAGGTACAGGATGGATACTGGCTATACGTTAAAGAGGTTCTTAAGGAATCGACACCTACCACCTCTGCTTGTGTCACAAGGGACACAGACCTTGTCTGCCGCAAGGAAGGCAGGAAAATTTATTCCAGGCTACCATGTGCCTATGTAAAAATCATCAGGGTTCTTAGGAAGAGAATGGATATTCAGGGGAAATGACAAGATTCTGACATAAATGTCCTGCCCCCATAATATACTTTGCTTACTCTGGTCCCTAAGTCTGTCGATAATGTTTGTTGCCCTTCCCTACCTGAGAAAACTATAATCATTCTTTAAAGCACAGCCCAGGGGCGCCTGGGTGGCCTAGTCGGTTAAGCGTCTGACTTCAGCTCAGGTCATGATCTTGTGGTTCATGAGTGAGAGCCCTGTGTTGGGCTCTGTGCTGACAGCTAAGAGCCTGGAGCCTGCTTTGGATTCTCTCTCTGCCCTTCCACAGCAGCCTGCTTGTGCGCTTTCTTTCTCTCAAAAATAAACATTAAAAAAATAAAAATAAATAAAATAAAGCACAGCCCAAATGCCCACCTCCAGAACCCTAGAGATATTGTTCTTAGGACATTTTGCATGTCCCTCCACAGGGTCTCTGACCATCGTGTTATGAACCTTCCTCCTTCAGGTCTCCCTCCTCTAAGTCTGTACCAGGGGCCGCTCCCTCTCCATGGCTACAGGCTCATCACTCCCCTAAGCCCAACACTGGACTCCACCTGAAGAACCTAATTCTAACTGCTCATTCCTGTAGCCTTTGGGCAGCCTCCACCCTCTCAGGCTTTTTCTCAAGGACAGAAGATGGGGGACGGGAGGGACTTGGGCAGGCTGGAGCTGATCCGGAGTGTAGGTGCACCAGGTAGCGACTCTTATCCAGAGGACATGTGCAGACCTCCCCCAGCGCTGGGTGGAAGCTAAGTCCTTTTCTCCAGGGACACACAGGATGCTCCCTCCCACATGTGGGGGCTGAGCCTGGGTGGCTCAGTCGGTTAAGCGTCCGACTTTGGCTCAGGTCATGATCTCACAGTTTGTGGGTTAGAGCCCCGCGTCGGGCTCTGTGCTGACAGCCAGCTCAGAGCCTGGAGCCTGTTTTCGACTCTGTTTCCCTCTCTCTGGCCCTCCCCTGCTCATGCTCTCTCTCTCTCTCTCAGAAATAAATAAAACATTAAAAAAAAAAGTTATATATATAAAAAAAGATGCCCCCACAGGTAAGAGCCTTAGGTCAGGGGCCGACATACATGTTTGTAACTAAACCCGAGTGCCCTCTGGCCTTCGGAGCCAGTTTTCCCAGATCATCCTGCTGCTGAAACCCCTCTGTGCCTCGCCAGTTCTGAAGGCTAAGTCCTGACTTCTCGAGCCTTCCTGCTCTGACTCGTGCCCTCACACTCCCCTACCTCAGGCAGCAGAGCCAGGCTCACATATGTGCTGCTGGTTCTGTTTGACACACTTTTTCTTGCTTGGCCTTCAAGACTTGCTGTGGATGACACCTCTTCCACGAAACCTTCTTTCAACCCTCAGCCTTGAACCTTCATCCTTGAACCCTCAGGCAGAGCTGCCATGTCCCCAGGGCCCTCTGGACATCTCTCAGTGGCCTCATTAGTATGCTGGGAAGATTGGTCCTCTGCACTAGGCTAAGCAACCAAAGGGCCAGCCCCCGTCTCCACCCCCTCAAAGGCATCCCTTAGCCTCAGGCACACACTAGGTATCCAGTAAATACTCCATGAAAAGGGCTCTTGAGCTCTGGAAAATGGGCCAGGTGATAAGGGAACATTCCAAAGTCTCTAGTTTTTTTGCTCTGGGTGAGCAGATCCTAAGGCAAATACAAAAAGTCACATAATGCCAACCTCTTCTCCTTGTCTGAATAAAGCTACTCATTTTTCGGAGCCCACTTTCACGTCAGGAAGGCGCCCCTGACTCCAGGCCTGGGACAAGACCATAGCACTTTGCATGCATCTTCTCTAGCACTTGAATCACCATAGCAGTGACTGTGGGCCTGTTAACTCAACTCAGGGTTTCTCTGTGTTTCGCTGTGGACATTGGGGGCTGGATGCTTCTTTGTTGAGGAGGGCTGTTCCATGCACCATACGATGTCTGGGCAGCATCACGATCTCTACCCACTAGATGCTAATCGCACCCTCTCAGTTATGACTGAAAACAGCCCCAGACACTGTATGTCCCTGGGGTAAAATAACTTCAGGTAGAGAAGCACTGGTGTAACAACCATTTTGCCTGTTAGAACAGACATTCCATGAGGGTGGTCCAGCCCCGAGACCCCACCTCCTTGGCTCCTTAGCCTGGCGTTCACTCTCCCAGGCAGCTGACCTCCTTCTGTCCCACACAGAGCCTTGCGCCACCCAGAATGAGTCAAACCTTCCTTTCTGCTCCTCTGGGACAGCCTAGGGGTGGAGCCTGCATCCTACTGGCTTTTGCACCCGCCAGTGCCCATGCTCATTTTACTTTCAGGGTGTTCAGGAAATCACCGCTGGGGGGGCAAGTTGGAGGATGGGCTGAGTGCTGGAATGGCAGGTACACAATTGAGGGTCCTTCTCGACAGGGATGACTTCTGTTGGTTTTGTGTGTGTGTTTGGTTTAGGAAGTTCAGACTTTATTAGACACCCAGGGGCTGCGGGCTTCACAACCCTCCTAGTCAGGGCAGCCTGGGGAGGGCCCTGAAACCAGTCCTGCCGATCCGTCTCCCCTCCCACCTCACTGTGGCTCCTGTGTGATCAGCACATGGTCAGAATCTGCTTTGAAGACACGAAGGGCCGCACTGAGGCTTCCAAGGCGCGCTGGTAGTCCTGCAGTGGGACCTCGGAGCAGGCAGGGGCCGTGAGCTGGCCTCGGCCGATGAGACGGCACAGGGTGAGAATGAGCTCCTTGAACTGGGCTGTGGGAGGTTGGAGGGAGTCAGACATGGGCACAGCGGCAGGGCATGGCAACACAGACCACAGGCCAGCCCCGGTGGCAGGAGCTGGCCCTGAACTCCAGGAAAGCCCCGAAAGTCCAGGCTTGACCCCGGAGAGGGAGGCTGAGGCAACAAACGGGTCCCTGGTGGGGTAGGACAGAGGAGATGGGGCACTGCCCTGAGAGCTGATGGGCAGGCAGAGTGGTGGCTATGGGGGTGCAGACCCACAGCACCCGACTGGGGTGTAACCAAGAGTCCTGAATGGTGGGAGGGGCAGGATTACTTTGAGGCAGGGCAGCTAGAAGAGGCACAGGGAGGGGTGGGTGTGCCTGGCAGGCCAACTGAAGTGGAACTGATGGGCTTGGCTCAGGGAGAAGAGCTTTCCCTGAGAGCCCAGAACTCCCTTAGAACTCTGTGAGTTGAGAGGTCCCAAACATCCCCTCTTCGGGCCTGCCCCCAATATGGTCCAGGAAGACGACAAGTGGCAATACGGTCTCGGCTTTGGCCGAGAAATGTTTTTTCATAGACATCGATTGATGCAACATTCAAACCTAATCACGTCCCCTGTTTCAAACACTTCAGTGGGTCTTCGCTTGCCTTTCAGATAGAGTCTGAGCTCCTTAAGAAGGTCTGCAAGGCCTTTCCTAATCCGGCCACAATCTATCTGTCCATGCTCCCGCCCTCTACAACGGGCTTTTGCACAGGCTACGTTTCTGGCCCAAAACACATCACTGACACCACCACCTTCCTCCCATTCATTGGGATAACTCCGCGTGGTTCTTCACTCTCAGCTCGAGGGGTTGCATTTTGGGCAGCCAGTCCTCCAGAGGAGGAGGGACAGTGTGCTGGCTCAGGTTCTGGAGCTAGAGAACTAGTTCACACCCTGGCCGCACCACTCCCTGGGGGGGGGGGTGACTGGACAAGCTACCTAGTGGCTCTGAACCTCAGTCTCCTTCTCTATGAAACAGGGCAAACAACGTCTAGACAACTATGGCATTTAAACTGAGACAAAAGTCACCTGTCCAGACCCCACGGCTCGGCCAGGCAGAACCAACACTAGTAACGGTGGGAGCAGGACTAGAACCCCGGCCGGCTGGCTCCAGAGGGCCCCACATGGCTGTCTTCCAAGGCGGATTTCCCCACTGGCAGCCGCTCAGGATGGGGACGGCACCTGACCTTGTTCCATGCTTCCACCCCCCCGGGGCTAGCCCGCTTTAGCCCAATACCAATTTGCTGACCGTGGCTGTGGCTAGACAGTATTCTCCTGTAACCTGTCATGGCGCTCCAGAGCCAATCACCCCTCCAGGGCTCAAAATGGCCGGTCACTTCTGCAGTAGGCGTCGCCCTCCCACGTGACCGTTGGCAATGGGGCCATCATCCACTCACCTGGACTATGGTCCTTCTTCCACTGGGACAACCAAAAGCCTCGAAGTTTGACATCCTTAAAAATGAGCTGGCTCTGTGGACACAAGAAGGACGTATGGGACTCTGAGGGCAAGCGCTTCGGGTGATGCCCCCCACACTCCTGCCCAAGGACAAGGGCACCATGTGGATTTGGACGACGGTAGTGTCCAGGCCCATGTCCGGGCCTGCCTCCCCCGCCAGCTTACCACAGAGGCTATGACAGGCTGCTTGGCCATTCCCCCGTAGGTCACCATGGTGCCCCCGGGCCTGAAGAGTCCAGAGAAAACAGAGTGGGTAGAGGCAGAGATTGAGCTCTTCTCGAACCTGCCAGAACACTTCTATACCAACCCTGGTTTCTTAAAAAAAAATTTTTTTTAAATATTCATTTTTGGGGGGGGAAGGGAGGGGCAGAGAGACAGGGAGACCCAGAATCCAAAGCAGGTTCCAGGCTCTGAGCTGTCAGCACAGAGCCCGAGGCAGGGCTTGAATTCATGAACGGTGAAATCATGACCTGAGCCAAAGTCAGACGCTTAACTGACTGAGCCACCCAGGCACCCCTCCAACCCTGGTTTTTGAACCTCGATCTCAGAATCCTTGGGAAGGTTTCAAAGACCACAGATTCCTAAGCTCGACTCAGACTTAATGAATCAGGAAGCAAGAATCTGTAGTAAATTCAACCAACAGACACCCCGTCAGACGACACGGATGTGTAGCCAGGGCTGGGAAGCCACTGCCGTGACCGCCCAGTCGGGCCTGGATGAAGGTTGCAAAGAAACACTCTGCTGAGAAGAACTCAAGACGTGAGCTCAGTCCGGGCTCCCCACCACTCCTAGAGGTGGGGCTTGGGCAGGGCAGACACTGGCACAGACCTCCACCCTCCGTCTGTCCACGCTCCTTTGAGGACCGGTGAGGTGAGGTGGACTCTACAGATAAGGAATGGCGTGGATGGGGAGAGGGCAGTGGCCATTGCCCTTGGCTGCAGGAGGGGTCGTGCCAGGACCCGCTGTCTGACACCCGTACCCGTCCCAGCAGTCCAAAAGGGGAGAGGCTTAAATAATTTTTAAAAACTAATAAGCTTGGACCTCTTCTGCTTGACTTCACCTGTGCTGCCCTCCCCATCCGCCGGCTTTGAGAAGTCCGCTGGTCCAGGGTGATGGGGGGTGTGTATGCGATGCTTTGTGAACTATGAGACGGAAGCAGTTGCTGTGTGATGCAGCTCACTCTTTGTCCAGGAGGCTTGTGGGTAGTTTGGTCTTAAGATCCCTTTCACCTGACGCCGGTTCCAGAAAGTAGCCCCTTTCTGGGATCCAGCCCTCCCCCCAACTTCCCACTGCCTCCGCATTTGTTCTCATCTGAAGAGCTGTTTACTGGGTGTTTTTTAGGTGCCCGGCCCAAGTCTGCACATTTCCACGTGCACTGATGTGGTGAATCAGCACTGTGACCCCAGGGGAGCACCTTCATTGCTCTTGATTTTACAGTGGGGAAACTGAGGCCCACCTCTGTAGAGCGATTTGTGCACCACCTCAGTGTCTTTCAACTAATCTTCTGAGGCAGAAAGGGTTTATATCCCTCCCACTGTAGACACAAGGAGACTGAGGCCTGGACCCTTTAGGTATTGCCTGACTTCTCACGGGCCCACAGCTAGTAAGTCGCAGAGCTGGAACTTTCTGACTCCAGTGTCTACACCTGTAACTGCTACTCAAGGCCTCCACCTACAGCGAGTGCAGCTGCTCTCGGGGCTGCCGGAGTGGGGCGGAAGGGGTGTGCTCAGGAGTCACAAGGACTGGGGGCTAAGCCTGGCTCTCCCACTTCCTATACTTTGGGCAAGGTGATTACCCTCTCTAGGCCTTATGTAAATGGATGGGGATAGTATCCTTCGCCTTGGTGGTTTTGCGCGGGGGTGACAGGTAAGCCAAGCACAGGGGAATACTCAGTGATCACTATCACAACTCTCTGACCACATGACCCATCTTCCCATCTAGCCTATGAATTCTAGAGAATTCTCTGTATCCCGGAGCTAGTGAGTGTTAGCAAGTATGTTTCAACCAGTGTTGCTGAGGGGATTCCTGCTTTAGTTGGAAAGTATCCTTTCAGGTGGCCCTCAGCTCAGGAACTTTCTATTAACGGAAAAAAGGATGGAAGGACATTTACACACTGCTAATATTGTCACCAGTGCTTATCCCCCTGGGTGGTGGGACGATAGCGAACTTTTCTGCTTAATTTTTCCTTTGTGCTTTTTTGGGGGAAGGCTTTATTTTTTTTTTAAAGTAATCTCCACAGCCCATATGGGGCTCACACTCACAACCCTGAGATCGAAAGTAGCACGCTCCACCAACTGAGGCAGCCAGGTGCACCCATCTTTTGCACTTTCACGTGCCTTTGAAATGCTTTGTAATAGCATAATGTTACCTCTGAAATGAGAATCTATTTTTAAAAGCTAATAACAAATTCAAAAGCTAACCAGCTAAGACTAAGTGACTTTTGAAGATGCCCCTAGGTTATGAATCTATAACCGTTCCCCTATACAAAAAGCTTAGCCATCCACTTCTGGGGTCCCTTGGAAAAACAAAGCGGCTTGGTCTCTCAGTCACTGATAAAGCAAGAGGCTGAGAAAGGAGGTGCCCGGATAAGCAGGAAACGATCATGATCCATTTCCTACCCAGGGTTAGGCTCTCCTGGCTTGGCTTGCATTGCCCACTGGGTCTGGGTCACCTGACAGTCCCCCCAGCTAAAGGCCTGGAGGGCTCCAGCCAACCAGACCTGCAGGGCCAAGGGACTTACGCTAAGTGTCGCAGCAGCTCTGTGGAGCTTTTTCCGCCAACACAGTTGAGAGCGAGCCGGGGCTGGGGCATATCCTGGAAAAAAGGAACCTGTAGTGAGGGAGCTACCACTGTATGCATGGCATCTCTTCCTTTCTTTTTAAAATTTATTATTGAGACAAAAACAGAGCATGAGTTGGGGAGGGGCGGAGAGAGGAGGAGACACAGAATCTGAAGCAGGCTCCAGGCTCTGAACTGTCAGCACAGAGCCCAACGCGGGGCTCGAACTCATGAACCATGAGATGGTGACCTGAGCTGAAGTTGGCTGCTTAACTGACTGAACCACCCAGGCGCCCCTCTTTCTCTCTTTTTTTAAAAGTAGCCTCCATGCCTAGTGTGGGGCTTGAGCTCACAACCCTGAGATTGAGAGTCGCATGCTCTACCAACTGAGCCTGCTAGGCGCCCCCTTACACGTGGGGTCTGATGCTTGTGACAAACAGCACTTCCCTTCCACAGGTGCTATGTGGAGAGGTGGGGCGGGGGCAGGGGGAAAGCAAAGGAAAATGGGATGCAGTTGCCTTCACTCTCTGCTCTGCAAGGACCTTTGCTTTATTAGCCGAATCCTGTTATGTTTTGGGATTTTGTTCAAAACTCCTCTCTAGGAAGGGCCAGACAGACGGCATCTCTGTTCCTTTTCAAAGGACTCCAGGTCCCCCAAGTGTACCTCTTCTCTGCACTCACAACTCAGTGTGAGTTAGAGGTGCTGATCTGCCGCTTCGGGAATGTTCTCAAGAGGCAGGCTTTCTCAAGTGAGTGTGTGTGGGTGGTCACTACAGGGCCCGGAGGAAAGAGGCTGAGGTTCAGTCACCTATTAGGTAGGCTGGGGGTGGAGGTTCTAGAAGGTTAAGAGTCTGGGAGTTCAGAGAGACCTGGGGCCAGCCCTGACTCCACTCATAACTGTGTGGCTTTGGTGAAATCCTTTCTCTCTTCTGAGACTTGGTTTTCTCCTCTAAAAAAGAGAAAGCACCTGCTTTGTGGGGCTTGTGTGGGGATTATCAGATGCAATATAAAGACAGGGCTTTGGAAATGGTCCTTCTTTCCTTTCTCTTCCCTCTCTGTGCCTCAGTTTCCTCAGGTCCTCTCCCAGCTCTGAGATTCCCACTGGCTGTATGGACTGATGTGGCCTGCTAAAAAGACTCCAAGGTACAAGTGACCCAGGTGCCCCGGACTTTGTCTCTGCTGCCTCCCTCGCAGCATCGGGGCACTTAATGCACGCTGTCCCCTGAGGGAATGGGTTTTATGTTTCCACAAAAAGATGAAGGGGGGATCTAGAGAGGAGCAATGGGGCTGGTCCCAGCTTTTCTATCAGGTCAACTTTTTCTGGGGGGAGATGAGCCTAGAATGAAGGCACAATGCCCCTCAGCCTACGTACCTTAAACAAATGTTTCATCTCATGCTTCCGTAGCTGCTCTTCGGTGAGAACGTGCTCGGCCCCCAGACTCTTCAGTCTATCAGTCAGCTTCTGGATGTCAGGCCTGGAAACCAAACACAATCCACGGCCCTCGGCCACTCCTGCTCACTTGCTACCAGAGACTTCTAGGGCTCCTCTGCCATGGCTGGAAGCACGGGAGTTTCTCTCTGCGGGAAGCTGGGACCGGGGGCCAGCCAGGCGCTGAGCGAGGGGCTGGCTACTGGCGTCCGGTGCACTTTAACACCTCTTGGTCTTGGTCTCCTCACTGGCACCACTGGGTGATTTCTACGTCCTTACCGGCTCAAAGGGGCTAGAACCATCTGGCCCGGGGAGGAGTCATTTCACTTCCCGATTTTGTCTCCTGAAATGACAGACTTCATTTCCTCTCCCCTACTCTTTTCAAGGGGCTCTTCAGGGCTCTTCAGTTGTGCAAACACACTCCAGCCCAGGAGTGGCTCTCGGCCTCTTTGGCCAAGGCAAACAGAGTAACTTTTGTTAACACAACTGAGGGGACAGGGAAGGGAAGAGGGTGTCAATTCTCCTCCAAAGACTGGGACTCCACGACGGATATAGCTACGTTTGCTGACAGTGAGGCTTAAGGAAACGGTGGAAAGAGAACAAGGCAGGGAGCTAAGTCTGTTACTGACTTGCTGTGTCTTTCTGGGCAAGTTGCTCCCTTTCTCTGAATCCTGTTTCCTCCCTGTAACACAGATGACAAGCCTGCCCCATCTCCTTCACAGCCACATTTAGTGCAGCTCAAGTGCCACACGGATGCAAGGGGAGAAAGGGGCCTAGGTTAGGCAGTTTACAGAAGGAATAACACAGCTTAAGAGATTCCCAAATGCGAAGTGTGGCTTTGAAATCATAAAGTTATCACAGAGTCTCAAAAACTCTTAGCTGCTCAGCAAGAGCCGGCTCCACCTCCTTCCTGCTCTCCCTTGCTTGACGTTTGGGAGAGTCACCCTTCCTATAGCCAGAGGCCGTCTGCGGGCTGCTTATGCACGGGCGCCATCTGGTGGTGATAGGGGCACTTGCAGGGATGCTGGGTGGAAACGCAATGGGTGGTCTTGTGCAATGGGATCAGGCGTCCCCACGCACCTGTCTCGGACCACATTGATGGTCCTCAGGCCCAGGGCTGCAGCGATCTGGATGACTGCTTGCCCCACTCCACTGTTGGACGCATTCTGGATGACACAGTCTCCTGTAGAGCCAGGAAGAGACCCAAGTCAAGTCCTGGAGACCTGTAAACAGGTCAAGTGCTTCCCGCCTGGGATCCTATTGTAGGGCAAGAGACGGGAGTCCTCAGGCTCAGAATGACCCAGGACCTGGCTGCTGAATCTTCTCAGATCTTGCTTACTCTTCTCCCAGGCGCCCCCCACCCCCCACCCCCGCAAAATTCCACATGGCCCATGGTGCCTCGCAGGACTTGGCAATTCAGAGTCCACTCAGCATGTAATTTAGATCCCACTGTGTAAATGATTTTATATTGTTAATCATTCTCTCGATTTTTATGTCCTCAAATCTCTTAGGTTATTTCCATGGTGTGCAATGTTTCCCTCCTTTTCTCTTCCTTCGTTTTGAAATCCCACACACCCCTTGAAGCACAGCTCAAGTGCGCCTTCCTTCCCATCTTCCTTCTGTGTGCTCCCCTGGCTCCTGCACATGGTGTGCCCTGTCTTACACTTGGTTGTGGACATGCCCATTTCTAGCAAGAGCCTGCAGCTTCCTGAGGACACGGCCATGCGTCATTTCCCCTTTGTGCTGCTCAGGAAAGGCACACGGCCTTGAAATGGGATCAGAGTGCCAGAGGAACCCACGGCTCCAGAAACAGCATCCTACAGAGAGTCTGGTCAAAGCCCGGGCTTTGGAATTGGTGAGTGGGGGAGGCAGCGTGGCATGCTGGGGGGAAACGTGGGCTCTGAAATCAGATGGACCTGGTGTGAGTTCCAGTTTCCCCACTGACTGTCACTCAATGACACAGGACAGGTCACAACCACCATTTCCTCCCCCTAAAACAGGAATCCTTGGGAGCACCAGTCAGGAGGCTCCAGATTAGTCAAATGCCTTTGTGTCCAGGAAGGTGTGCTGTTACCCCGAAATGCTATCTGAAATTCAGGAATCTGGAGCTACAGACAGGGAATTTCCTGGAAGAAGAATGCCCGTTTTCTGCAGGCAGGAATCAGTACACAGATTGTCATTAGTGGGTTATGAAATCAAGCTAGTGGGTTGTAAGCAACATTTTTTTTAAGTTAAAATTGAGGGACAGAAATTAAGAAGAACGCATTGCATCACACCCACTAAGGTCAATACTGCTCCAAAAAATTTAGTTTCCATTATATATACACTCATATCTACATCTATGTACTGGATTACCGCGTAAAATGTAATTCTTACCATGGGTCAGTATGAGAATTTAGTTTAACTCTGATCCAGCCCAGACCACACCTGCTCCGAGGCAGGCGGGTGGAGACACGCACTATGGGCATCTGTGATGGGATGCTGTCAGAATACCCTGATGTCCACCACAACTGCAGCCCAATTCACAGGTGGCCTGAGGGGAGGGGCCGCAGGTGACCAACACGACTCCGGCACCAGGTTCTCCCCCAAAGGCTCCCGAGGCCGCTCTGGCACAGCTGGGAGAACCTGCATTTCTCTTTGCAGGAAGCTGGCACTGGTTTTTAGCCAGCTACAAGCTGTAGTGGCAGTCTAAATTTATCATGCTCCAATATCTCTGCCTCAGTTTCCTCACTGGTGTGGCAGAGCTAGACCAGGTGATTGATTTCTCTAGTCCCGGGACATGCATCCTGTGCAGGGTGACCTTCCAATGATGGGGGGGTCAGTGCTGAGGTGGGCTCCGTGAGGGTCTTTGGGGGCCTCCGCCCAGCAAGATGGAGCCCCGCTCGCCCCCGGCAGTAAGCAGCCTTCACTGGCTTTCCCCCCTTTCCCTCGCTTGCTCTCTCAGTCCTTCACCCCTGCTTCCGGGGATCACCTCCCCAGTGAACTGTCCACCCTCAGTCCTTGCCTCAGGCTCTGCTTTTGGGGAGCCCCGAACAGAACACCTGGCTTTGTCATTCCCTTGCTCAGTGATCTCACCCAAGTAGCTTACCTCTCCGGACCTCAGTTTCCTCCTTTATGAAAAGGAAGCATAGTAAAAGTAGCGCACATTGTGTGCATGTCGTGTGCCAAGCCTCAGGCTGCGTGTTACACTGCAGTGTTTCAGTTAACCGTCAAAACCCCTCATTCTCCATGTTTATAGGTGAAAAATCCGATGACCTGAGAGGTCAGTTCACAGTGAAAGGGGAGGCTGGTGTTCAGACCGAGGTTGTCTGCCTGAGGCCTGAACTCTCAACTGATGATGCCAGCCTCACACACTGCTTTGAAGATGTACTGCCCTCACTGGGGAATTGCAGGGAAAGGCACTTATGTGAACTGGAAAGTGCCCCAGGAATGCTGAGTGGAATTTCTCAGTTCAGCATTTTGCTGGGAACACAGGCACTGGTCTCTCCTGTCTGGCTTTGCTGGGTCCCAGAGCTTAGCACAGCTCCATATGTTTTTGCTGAATGGCAGGACTCCATCCCAAGCTCTAGGGAATGCGATCCCTCAGTGGTTATCCAGAATGTTCTCCTCATGAGGTTCTAGCACACTTTCCAGGAACCAAGCTAGCAAGACAAGAGCAGCAAGCATACGCTCACCCAGATTAGGGGCCCGGAGGAAGTCGGGAAGTTCCCAGGGCCTCAGGCGCAGGATTTGGGTCACACCGAGTCAAGAGACCCCAGCCCACTCCCTGAACCTGTGGGTTCCTACCAGGCCGCAGCTGCTCAAAGTCCGTCAACATCCTGTAGGCCGTGCAGGGATTGACACCCAGGGTAGCGGCGCTCTGGAGAGGGATGTCACTTGGAACTCCGATCAGTGTTTCCTCACTGAACACAGCTTCGGTCCGCCAGGTTCCTGAGTCAGGGGATGGCACCAGGGTTGTGAGAAAGGATCCCTCTCCACAACTGGCCCCAAGTCACCCTCCTCAGTAAATAGGCACTGAAGACATCAGCCTTCAGGTAAGACTAAAGAGAAAAAGAAGATCCTGAAATCCTTTGGACTCTCTCTGAGTCTTCATGATAGTGATTTTGTCATTAGCACGTTCATTACCATTAGATGTAGCTACTGTCACCCAGCAGGTGGCTAAGGAGCTGAAACTACGGGACACTGAGTAACATCAGGACCAGTGCAAGAGAAGCTGCGAAAGCCCCCACTTCCCTATTTAGCCATCACCCTCCTCACATAGGGCACGTCGACTTGGGTCGGTATTATGGAAAAAAGCATAAGGTAGGAGTCGAAGGCCCGTCTTTGGGATCTGTTTTTGCTGTTCAGCTAGTTTGAGCCAATTACTGAGTTTTGGTTACCCTAATATGTAAATGACGCTGGCCTCCTCCAAGAGCCGCTGCACAAATCAAATGACCCAAGGGAAATGACAGACTCCTGTTGACTGGAGAGAAGTGATCATTCATCTCCACCCCACGTCCTAGCTGAGGACAAAAGAATCATAACATGTCAGTGTCGAGAAGGCCCTCAGAGCATCAGGTTTAACCTCCTCATTTAACAGGGCAAGCCATGAAAGTGACTTGCCCAAAGTCACCCGGCAAATCCGGGCGCCCCACCTACAGATGCTTCGCGTGCACCCACTGAGGAGCCAGGCGCTTGGACAGCGTAGATGCATCCCGTCCTTTCACAGAGTTTCATTCCAGGGGAGAAGAGGCGAGAAACAGACAGGTACAGGAGGGAGAACTCCTTGAGATGGGCGCCAGGAACAGCTTCTCTGAGGAGGCGCAGGCTAAGAGTTAAAGGGTACAGATGCCAGCCACTCACAGGGTACAGCAGGAATGTTCTAGGGAGAGGAAAACGCATACGGAGATGCTCTGAGGCAGGACAGGCAGAGGACGGACCTGGGACATGCACGGCAGGGCAGAGTGACAGGAGGAAAGGCGTGGGCCACGGCTCAAGGGCCTTGGGTCACAGAAGCATCACCCAGGCTCTCAGGATCTGGACCCACAGTAACCGTGAGGCATGCGGCCACTCAGTACAGTCACATATACAAATGTGTACACCTACGTGTAACAGAAATCAAAGGTTCACGGAACAGTATTTACCCTACTACGTATGCTGTGCTGTTATTTTCTATTCTGTTCTGACTGATTTTAGGGGGGGAAATGCCATTTGCCACTCGTTAGATCAATTTCACGAACGGGTCACAAGCCACATCTGACAGGTTTTCACCCACGCAGGCAGGGTCCTGTATAAAGCAGAGGTGAGGAGGACAGACTTGGAGACAGACAGACACACAATTCAAGCCTGGGCTCTGCCACATACTCGCTAGGTCACCTTAGAGAAACCATTACGGGCTTGGTGTCTGGTGGCTGTGGGGTCTTGGGGGCCTTTGTCCTACAACTCTGCAGCTCTGGACTGTGTGCACCTGCCCGGCTGCTGGGATTCTAATGGTACCCAGACACCACATGGTCAGGCCCAGGGGGGCAGGGGACAGTCTAGGTGACTACTAATTATGCTGTAGGCGGGGAGAGACAATGTGGGGCTTTAGGGACCAGGTGGTGCAGACAAGAGGCAGGAACACGTTTTATTAAGAGCTTCTCTGGTTCCAGAGTAGATCTGTGGCTGAGAAAACAAGACACTGACAAACTGAAGGGTTCCTTTGGAATCTAGGTGGTATCCTGGCATTCTCTGGGCTTCACCCAGCCTGGTGTTCAAATCTTTATTGTCCTCTTCATCATCATGGCCCCTACTTCTCGTAGCCAACATGTACCATTTCTACTCTGGCCAAACACAGTGTAGGGCTTTCTCTGCATGAAGTCAGGGGTGTTTTCTGATTTCCCTTAAAGGCACGACAATGGCAATTCAGAGCCTGACACAAACTTCTGGGCCCTGGTAGTTCCTTATCCTCTTCTACAGAGAACCTGGGTGAGATGGGGGCAGCGCCCATTGTCAGCCCTGAGGGCTTTCAGGGTTTTACAGTAAAAATCCTTAGATCCTGGAGCGGGGAACCTGCTTAAAACTCCCGGCTCTGCCATTCATGATTTGTGTGATTTGGAATTCTCACTTTACCTTCTTCAACACTAATGTCATACTGTGAAGATCAAACGCAATGACGTTTGTACAGACTATCGGTGTGCCTAGTACATATAGTGAGTGTGTTATCACTGTGCCCGGGACATATCATGGGTGTGTAATGTCTCTTGGTGCCCTCACTGCTGCCCTGTGCTGCCTCAGGAGGATTTTGAGGGTTTCCAATTAGAAGATCAGTCCGCACATTCTCCGGCCCAGTCTCCCCGGGGACTGGCTGCGTGTGGGGAAAAGCGGGCAATGGGCACAGTTCAGTAACGTGAAAGACGGCCAAGGTCTGGCCAGTTGAGGACCTATCTGTTTAATGACTGCCACTCTTGCTAAACTGCGGCCTTCACTAGAAGAAAGGCCATGTCTGTCCACTGCTGTATGCCAGACCCCAGCACAGTGCAGATGTACTCAAAAAATGTTTACTGAACAAACGGAATGATAGTCCCAGCAAGAAAAAATTCTCTTGCTCTTTGGTCCCTGGTGGGAAAGACTTCCCTTTTCTCTGGGGAGAAACCCCCGTTCTGGCTGACACCACCACCTCCACAGGCGCGATTCCCTACACCCCTCGTCCTTTTTCTTCTCTCCAAATCTAGTAACTGAGCCCTGCTCCTTTAGCTCCTAACTCCATCCTGTCTTCCCCAGCTCTGTGGCCCTGCCTTGTTCAGACCCTTATCAACTGAAGCCTGAACTGTTTAGCCACCTCTTTACTGGCTTCCTGCCTCTACCCTCCACCTGTCCAAGAGTAGGCTGTGCACTGCCCAAGTTGTCGTCGTCATTGTCTTCTTCTCCTCCTTTTTTTAAAGTTCATTTATTTTGAGTGAGAGAGAGGTAGAGAGAGGGGAGACGGAATCCCAGGCAGGCCTGCACTACCAGTGCAGGGCCCGATGCGGGGCTCAAACTCACAAACTGGAGATCATGACCTGAGCCAAAGTCAAGAGTCAGATGCTTAACCGAGTCTGAGACACCCAGGCACCCCCACTCATTCTTAACTCTTCTTCGGGCCTCTCTGACCACAGACGCGAGCCGTCTATGACCGGGCCCCAGCCCGCCTCTACAGTCTCCTCTGTCCCCGCAGGGACACAGCCGCACCAGGCTACAGTGTCTCTGACAGCGCCGAGCCTGCTCCCGGTAGCTTTGCATGCGCTGCACTCTCTGGCTGGAAGTCCTTCCTCACCTAGCCCACAGGCTATGCTTCTACTCGGTCTTCCAGACCGAGTTCAAGCACCACTTCTTTGGAAGTCTCTCTGAATACTTCCCGAGATGGGGGACTCCTTGGTGTCCATCCTCTCATTACAGCACTAACTAGACTGTTCATCGTATTAAGCGTTGTTTTTCCATCTCTGGGGCTGCAGGCGAGAGGGGAGCCATTCTTGGCAGCTTTTCTGGTCTCAAAGGAAAGAACTCCTAGTAGCAGACTTCTGTTCCTGTTTAATCCTGCCTTTTCTTTCTAGAACTGCTCCTTCCTCACCTCTGAGGCTGTCAACCACAAGGCCCCACCCTTTAAACCACAAAAGTGGGCAAGACACTCAATGGAGGCAACTGGGACCGCCCAACCCCAGACCCCTGGTGTACTTCTTTTGCCGTATAACTAATGAGGCTATTTTACTGTAAAAAAACAAACAAAAAAAAAAACCAAGAACTGGTTGACAGTTTGTTGGTTTCATCTACTGGTTAACAACTGGTTTCACTTCTGCACTGACACAGTCCTATTTCGTGTTATACCAACTTAACCCCCCCCCTTTTTTTTTTTTAACTTTTATTTATTTTTGAGAGACAGACAGAGCAGGAGCAGGGGAGGGGCAGAGAGAGAGGGAGACACAGAATCCGAAGCAGGCTCCAGGCTCCGAGCTGTCAGCACAGAGCCCGACGTGGGGCTCGACTCACAAACCACAAGATCATGCCCTGAGCCAACGTCAGCCGCTTAACCGACTGAGCCACCCGGGTGCCCCTCAGCTTTAACCCTTGTAACAGCCTAAAAGGTAGCGTGGAGTTTTGACCCCACATTTCCCAGAGAACTCTGGAACATCTGTCAATGGAAATGTGAAAACATGCCACAATGAGACAACAACGTGAGAGGCTTTCACAATCCCATACAAAGCCCAGTTATAAATGTGCATCCTGGTATTTGGAAACTGATCAAGGAAGAAATTTTAGCAAAAAAAAAAAAAAAAGTGCAATACTGATTAAGGTGACCAATCAATAAGCACCAAAAAACTGTGATCCTAGGAACAAAAGACTGAAGACAAGTGCTTAAGGTACCTTTTGTAGATTCGCAAAATAAAACCAGTTATTTGTGTGGTATTGACATGAATCTACGTGACCCATATGGAATGAGCTGAAATATCCTGTATTTTGCAGTAGTCTTTTCGTTACTCATTTTGTGTTTGATGGTGTCCTTTTTAGCAAATGTCTTTTTTTATTTTTTCACAATTTTATCGTTTATAGCAAAATTGCCCTATGGCCAGTCAGCTATGCTGCGAAGAAGCTTGCAGTTTAGATGGTGTAAAACTACGGAGTGTGGAGGGGTTCAGAGATGGGCAAGGACCCAGCAGGGTCGGTCAGAGCCCTGATGGCAGAGGGATATGGTTGCACTGGACGCATCGTGGAGGCCACGTTCCTTTGTTTGTTCCCAGACTGACGCGAACCTCAGGATGCCAGTGGCCATCTGTGAAAGGTTGGTTTGAGTCTCAGCTGCACCGCGTACTGGCTGGGTGATCTTGGGCAGGTTGCGTAATATTGAATATTTATCTCATACCTCCCTCCTGTTGTGGGAATAGCTGAGTTCATATACGTAGAGTGCCTAGAACTGGGCCTGGTGCAAAGGGAGTAGGCAATAAATACTTGTGGATGTTACTGTATCACTGTGTGGGGAGACCTATCTGAGAACTAATGAGGAAACAGAATGAGCTCTGAGATTACTGAGCTCCTGAATCCAGCTTTCCATCTTGAAAGCTCTCCCTCTCTTGCATGTCTAGAAATCAATTAACTTATTTTTTTGTGCAGCAAGTTCGAGTTGACTGTAAGTTATATGACTCAAAGGGTCCTAACACTGTAGTTTAGCAGAAACATAGTGGAGATAAGAGTTTGGTGGGTTTTCTTTCAGGTTGCTCTCTGGGTAAGGGCTTCTTCCCAAGCTTCTGTTCTTTTTTTTTTTTTTTAACTTTTTATTTTTGAGAGAGAGAGGGAGGGAGAGAGAGCGAGTGTGTGTGAGTGGGGGGAGGGGCAAAGAGAGAGAGGGAGAAGCAGAATCCAAAGCAGGCTGCAGGCTCTGAGCTGCCAGCGTAGAGCCTGACGTGAGCTCGAACTCACAAGGTATGAGATCATGACCTGAGCCGAAGTTGGATCCTTAATTGACTGAGCCACCCAGTGTCTCCTGCTCTTTTTTTTTTTTTTAATGTTTATTTATTTTTGAGAGGGGAGAGAGAGTACACACACAAGCAGGGGAGGGCGGCGAGGGAGAGACAGAGGATCGGAAGTGGGCTCCATGCTATCAGCACAGAGACTGATGTGGGGCTCGAACTCACGAACCACAAGATCATGACCTGAGCCAAAGTCAGATGCTTAACTGACCGAGCCACCCAGGTGCCCCTTAGCTTCATTTCCTTATTTGTGGAATGAGGTCGTTATTGTCTTCCCTGCTTCCCTCTACTGGTCGCTGTCAGGATCCTCTATATAATGTCTGTGCCTCAAAAACTGTCAAGTGCTAAAAACAAAACTCACAACGACTCACTATACATCAAAGAAAACCCTAACTCCTTAGCCTTTTGCAGGACATCCCCCATGCGGCCCCACTATCTGTGTGACCTTCTTTATCCCTTAAGCAAACTTCTCCTGTGTGCGAATCCTCCACGAGGCTACACTGGATTTCTATTTCCCAAACCGACCCTTGTGTCTGCTCATGTTGTTTCCTCCAAATGCAGTGATTTCTGGCTCATCTCCACCTCACATGATTCATCCATCAAAGGTCCATTCCAAAGAAGCCTCCTCCGTGAAGCCCTGATCCTTCCTTAAGACTGTCTCTCTCTCTCGCATTCACACGCACACACAGAGGAGCCAGAGGTGTCCTCGGCTTCCTGTAGACTTGTAATATGGAACACACCCTTTATTGAGGTTCCTAGTTTGGAGATTTCTTCAATTAAATTTCAACCTCCTGGAGGCCAGGGGCCGTCTTATTTGGATTTCCCATTGTAGCCTACAGCAAGGATTTTGGGATGTAGGGATTCAGAGAATCACAGCTCTGATCAATAACGGGCCAAAGGAGACGAGAGAGCAGGTCATCACCTCCAGGGCAGATGAAACTGACTTTCTGCTCTCCTTGTTCAGCTCCCATTCTTACTGGCAGGGGGTATATGCACTCAATAATAAATCCCGCACTGCTGAGTTACCCTGAGCCAAGGAGGAAACACTTCCAGGGTGGGTGAAATCCAATCTGGAACATTGAAAAGGCTGCAGACGCCCCAGAGAAACTCACCCAAACCGGGGTTTGCTGGAATCACCCAGTCTCCTGGCTTCACCCCAGTAACATTGCTGCCCACTGCTACCACCTGTCCGACACCTTCGTTCCCTCCAACAGCAGGCAGCTTGGGAAGGAGGCCGTAATTTCCTATGGGGGGAAGAGCACAGAGGGTCACCTGGTGAAGCTTGGGCAGTGAAAGAGCATGAACTTCATAATTTTTTAAAAATGTTTTTTATTTATTTCTGAGAGAGAAAGAGAGACAGCATGAGCAGGGGAAGGTCAGAGAGAGAGAGGGAGACACAGAATCTGAAGCAGGCTCTAGGCTCTGAGCTAGCTGTCAGCATAGAGCCCGATGCGGGGCTCAAACCCACGAACCCTAAGTTCATGACCTGAGCTGAAGTCAGACGCTTAACCAACTGAGCCACCCAGGCACTCCATGAACTTCAGAGTTAGACTGAAGCTTGATCTGGGCCCTGCCTTTGGCCTGCTGTGTAACTAACTGGCCTCTCTAAGCCTCCGCCTCTTGGTCTGTAAAGGGGATAATACTTTTCAGCATTCACGGTTATCACGGGGATTAGACACTGTATGAAACGAGCCGGCATATCACAGGCACCTCACAGTGGTTGGTTTACTTCCTGCTGCCATCTCTGTAACTCTCGAAAAGCCTCACATTCCAGAGAGGGCTTACAGCCCACACATCTGGAGAACAGCTGCTGAGAATCACAGGAATTTCCCACCCGCACCTGAGGAAGAACGGGATCGAGGTGGCAGCTAAGCAAAAAAGCCAATTAACATAAGCCGCAGAAACCAAGGTTACCTTGGATCATATTTATGTCAGATGGATTGATAGGGGCCGCCAGCATCTTCACATGGATGTCTGATCCGCCCACAGCAGTCAGCTCCAGCTTCTTCAGTCTAAGCACAAAGCCAAAGAGAGATGTTAATGTCACCCAGGCTAGACAGGGCATCTTTGGCTCAAATCATCTCCCCAAAGTAGGTCAGGGCGGCCACATTTTTGAGCTGCCATTGTGTGGCCAGAAATTAAGGCTGTTAGAAGAGAGAAAGGTGCTGTAGGGAATTAGCGCAGGCTATGGGTTAACTCTCTCATTAGCTGCAAATGGAAAATCGCCAGGGCCCTCTCAATCCCACTGCCCATTCTAGGGCAGAAAATAGTGAAACCTTCTGCAGGCCTGGATTAGCCTTGTATTCTCCAAAACCTCTCAGAATCACCTGGTGTGCTTAGGCATCATGTAGATTCTCAGGCCCCAGCTCTGACCTACTGAACCAGAATCTCAAGATAAGGGGCACCCCAAGTAGTTCTTTTTTTTTTTTTAGATTTTCAATTTTTTAAATGTTTATTCACTTTTGAGAGAGAGACAGAGTGTGAGTGGAGGAGATGCAGAGAGAGGGAGATGCAGAGTCTGAAGCAGGCTCCAGGCTCTGAGCTGTCAGCACAGAGCCCGATGTGGGGCTCGAACCCATGGACTGTGAGATCATGACCTGAGCTGAAGTCGGACGCTTAACGGACTGAGCCACCCAGCCCCCCCCCCCCCCCCCCCCCCCCCCCCCCCCCCGGTTCTTATAGACAGCCAGAACTGAGCCACCCTGGGCTAGCTTATTTGTCCTCCGCTTTTTCTTTTCTTTTCTTTTTAACACATTTTTGTTAGTGACAGAGCAGGTGAAATAGAGAGAAGCCCTTTGTAGTTCAGAAAGAACTCCCTGGGTGACTGTGATTCACCCGCTGGAGTGATGTCCCTTCTGTGCGAGAATCCTGGTCAGAAAGGACGCTGGACAGAGAGCTGAGTCACAGGTGTGAAGCGTGGCGCTACAGGCAAGTTTCTTCCCTGTTCGAGACCTGCTTCTCCATTTGTAAAATGGGGGTGGTGGTGGTGGTGGTTCGGACTTGATCACTGCCAAGAGCCTCTCCCATTTCCGGTGGCATTTCTATGTGGTAGCACTGTTCACGGCGGGCCCTAGACATCATGGGACTAATGGCCTTATGCACTAGAACTTTGGTTAACGGGTTAAAAGTGGTAAAGGGCTGGTGACCATGTCCATGTACTGTGTTTATTTTTTATAAAAGGAGACCGTCTGGGGCTGAGCGAGGAGCCTGCTCAAGATTCTCTCTCTCCTTCTGCCCTTCCCCCATGCGTGCTCTCTCTCAAATTAAAAAAAAAGAAAAGAGAGACCTTCCAACCATAAAGCACTAATCAGTGTACTAGACCAGTGTGTCTCTAACTTTTTAATTACCAGAGGCTCCTTTTCTTTCTCCACACCATGACTTCATGTTCGCAATTTTTTCCTCTGCCCAAATGTACCTTTTCTGGTTGTTTATTTACTTTGAGAGGGAGAGAATTCCAAGCAGACTCTGTACTGTCAGCATGTGGAGCCTGATGGGGCTCGATCTCACGAGACCTGGGATCATGACCTGAGCCAAAATCGAGACAGACACTTAGTCGACTGAGCCAGCCAGGCGCCCCTTCCTCTACCCAAATGTACTTGTAGTTTTTCTCATTTTTAGCTACCAAAGGCACATATAACTGCCACACAGAGGTTCTTAGCATTAGGCAACAGCGTCACTGAACTAGGCTGACATAATTCTACCCACTTCTGGCAGCAATCTGACCTTTTAATTATACCTGAGGCTCCATTTGAGGTAAAAGTGTGATTTTCAAGAAATGCCGTGTATTATTAGTAGTATAAAGGTGGCAGGAATTTATGGGGTATTTGTAATATACCAGGTCCTGTGCTCAGGGCTTTAAAAACATGATCTGATCTGAGATACAATTGTCTCATGAGGAAAGTATGAATATTCCCATGCTATCAAGTAGGAAGTGCAGGCTCCCAGAGATGATGAAGCTTACACAGGGTGAGATAACTGGCTGGCGGCAGGGCTTTCCTACTTCCAAAGTTGGCACTCTGATTTACTGTGCTCTGTAAGAGCATCCTGAAAATAGTCTGGGAACCCCCCTGACTGCCTACAAGGACCCTGGGGACCTAAGGGCCCCAATCTGGGAATCCCTGTACCAGATCATGACCAAAGGAAGACAGACCCTGCCTCACCATGACTGTGAAACAGCCGCAGAAAACTGGACTAGAAACACTCTCTACAGAAAACAGTTACCTAGGAAGGAGTTATGACCAAGGCAGAGAGAAAAAAGAAAGGGCTCTTTTTGTTTAGGTACCTATTAAGGAATGTATGTATTTATACATGGAGGAGGGAAAGTCCTTATAATAATAACAATCATAATAACTACTGTTTGAGTGCTTACCAGTGAGGCACTCTGCTAAGTGCTTCCCATGCCAGGTTTCTACCGTTACTCTGATTTTATGGCTCAGGAACAAAGGCACAAAAGAAGTAAAGAACTTGTTCAAGGCCACCAAAAGTAGTAAGTGGTTGATCTGATTTGAACCTGACGGTCTGATGCCAGCTGCTAAGGGGCTGAGCAGACCCAGCAGAGAGCAGCAAGAGGAGTGCCAGCCTGGAGTGGGGTGCAGGCCTGATCGTTGCTGGAACTGCCTGGGGAGGCAGAGTGGGGTGCAGGCAGAGCAGGGAGCCATCAGCCGGATGGTGATGTTTCTCTATGAACATATGTCTAAGTCTGCATTCTAAAGAAAAACCCTGCCCCGAGCAAATGGACTGCAGACTGGCTGCCTCTCTCTATTATCTGTACTGCTCCTCTCATACATTTTGCAGATAATCAGAATTTTTTCTGGAAGCTGACAAAGTCCATGTACTCAAGCTACGTAAAGACATTTTTTTCTGACCATGTTTTACATGCTCTTCCATCAGCCCAGAATTTCTTTTCCACTGCTTCTCCACGGACCAAGAAATTCAATTCACCCTTTAAGACATCTTTTGACACTCTTCTTGGCCCTGAAAAAAAATTGCTTGCTCCACACTCAGTGTTTTCATTACACAGAAGGGGTGACACTGCTTTAAGACCATCTTACATGAGTTTATTGCTTTTTAGTTTATCAAGCCTTTTCATACATTTCTTTCAATTGATCACAACAGGCCTAAGTTCACATTCCTTTCCCAAAACTCTGGGGGTGAGATGTATGCACGTCAGAGTTCAGAGCTGTGTTATTATCTACACCCCCCTGTGGGGGCTGAGGCAGCACTCTGTGATCAGACACATTGTTTCTGCGGCGAAATATATGAACATTCACGCTAAGTGGGATGAATAAACACTCATATATATGAACATATAAGATAAATATGAAGAATTCACACAGGATGAGGTCTTCCCTTCAAACGAGTTGTGAAACAACACAAATCAGAACAGAACTGTCAGCTGATAGAACTTTCTGATTTTGTGGTTGCAGATTCCACTTTGGATTTGGATCCAGGTCTTTCGGACTCAGTTCAGGGCTTTTTTTTTTTTACCTACCCCCCTAGTGTTACAGCCAGAACATGCATGTGTGTTGTCTCACCACTTGGCGGTGAGCTCCCAGACAGCAGAGAACTCGGAGTCTTAACTCCGTGTTTAGCACAGTGCCCGGGACCAAAGCAGTGCTCAGGAATGCTTCCTAATGAAGTTACGCGACTCTCCTCCCTATTGAGAAAATGGGACATAAAGGTACCGGCCGTTTCTAGGGAATCAGGGGAAGGCTCAAGGCACAGGGATTGAGCTACTGAGGCTCATACTTGCTCTTCCGGGTTCTGGGCCATTTGGGAAAAGAACCCTGAAGGATGGGTACAAATAAAAATGGAGACTGTCCGGGGCGCCTGGGTGGCTTAGTCAGTTAAGCATCTGACTTTCACTTAGGTCATGATCTCGCGGTTCATGGGTTCGAGCCCCACGTCGGGCTCTGTGCTGACTGCCAGCTCAGAGCCTGGAGCCTGTTTCAGTCTGTGACTCCCTCTCTCTCTGACCCTCCCCTGCTCACTCTGTCTCTCTCTCTCTCCTAGAAATAAATAAAACATTAAAAAAAAAATGGAGACTGTCCATCAGAGAGTTTGGTGTAAGCAAAAACCCACTGCTCTTTTCCTCACAGAAAAAGTACAGATGAGGTTTGCAGTAAGTCATACCTTAAAAATCTAGATGACCATGGTCAAGATGGGAACACAGGTGGATCTCAGTTCACAGATGAAGGGCGGAGCACGGGTTTGGAGTGAATATGCAGTCCTAGGTTTGAATCCTGCCATGGTCATTTACCAGCTAGATAAACTCACAATACTCATCTGTGAAATGGGGAGAACACTAGAACCTCGCTCACAGGAGTAAACGGTTAAGGTAAGCAAAGCATTTGCTAGAGTCCCTGATACACAGTAGATGCTGAAGAGATAGCAGCTCTTATCAGTGGCAGGAATATCCAAGGAAGCCTCTGGAACAATTAGCTGGCTACCCCTCTGAAGAGAATCACTGAATCACTGAAAGGAAGACAGCAACTTTTTGGAAAATGCAAGTAAGTTTAACTCAATAATTTACTGACAGTCAGACTCAGTATATCAGGTAATGTTGCCAAGGGGCTTAAAGGTAAAATTAAAAAAAAAAAAATCTCCTGCCTGGGAGCTTGATAGCACAGGGACTCTCACGTGGAGTCGCTGTGAGAGGCACCCCCAGAGGCAGGCACCCCAGAGGCAGGCTTGTGGTCCCTGCCTGAGCCTGGAGGGAAGAAATGCACGGTTAGCAACCGGGCTTTGGAAGAAGTGGTGTGTTAGCCTGGGTTTGAAGGAGAAGTGGAGCTTACTGGGTGGACTGAGGGAGGAAGGCAGGCTTTCTTGCAGAAGAAAAGAATGGCAGACAATCTGACTGGATCGTTGGCCAGGCAGAAGGTGCAGTCTGGACAGGCACCAGGGGAATGGAGAGGATTTGATGACCCAGAGTCTCTTAAATAAGAAGTGGTACTGGTGTTTGATGGCTCCTGGGCGTGGACAGCTGACTACTGATCCAGGGAGGAAGGGAGAG